AGGCACCCGTTGGGATTATAAAAATGACAGCTACGCATTCAGAGGAAGTATTCTGGTGAAGTGAACGGAAGACTAGCTGTCAAAGACACAACGTAAAAATGGGGCTATATCAAGCATGATAAAAAGGTCTGGTCTATTGATACGACTAATCTTGGCTTGGTGGGGCAAGCCAAGGAAAGTATTGCCGTCAAACGAGACTGGAATGGCCATTTCTAGTTTATAAGCCATCGTCAGCCAGTCATACCCAGCCTCAAGCGGTGCCCCACCCGAGCCTTCAACTCGCGACCGTTTCGATCAGAGTCAAACACCCTAACCAGTGAACCACGAACTTGTTGCCTCACCAGTTTAGGTCAGGAGATATTGATACTGGTTGATGAACGTTCACCTGACCGCTAACTGAACACATCTGTCCCACTCTGTCCTAAGCCTCGACGGAGGCCCTTACAGCCGCTAGTAGGCAGGCATGACTGTCTGACGAGGGCTAATAAGCCAGAAATGGCCATTCCGGTCTCCCTTGTCACGGCCGGCAATACTATCTACCTACAACTACCAGCTGTTACGGCTGTCAGGGCCTCTATCGAGGCCCAAGGCAGAGTGGGACAGATGAGTTCTGCTAGCGGTCAGCTGAACGTTCGTCAACGAGGAAGCCAAGAATCTCAACTGGTGATACCACTGAGCGCAGTAATGACAGTCTAACGTCTAAAGCCTGTGATAGTCATTTGCGGCGGAGGTTAATATCTGGTTTGGATGTAGCGCAGTTTGATAAACGAGTTCCATGTGTCAGTTTGGTATCGTTCTGGTTAAGCGAACCTGTACCGCAGACGTTTTGGGAACACAATACCAAAGGCAGACCTCCGGTCATCAGCGAAACATGGTCGACGTGACTTGGATAGATTACCAGTAGGCTTTTTTGTCAAATGCGGCCTTTTCATTGGAATAAACACACACATAAATGGCGGGAAACGTTCTCCAAGGTCATGAAGTGATTTTTAGGTTTTCTGCATTCAATATTCACTAGTGAATGTGAGTAGATCAAGCAAGATAAATTTACGATCAGAAATTTACGAACCTGCAGAGGATGGGTGCCGCACGTCACCGAGGATGGTTGTAACGGTCATTATCACTGCTACGCCAAACACAAGTAACTAAGTATCGGAAGCCGACAGCAAAATCTAGTTGCTTTTGACAGAAAACCCGTGCTTGGTATGGACATTTGGGAAACAAGGCTTGTGTGGAAATCCACGAATTGTAAGGATGTGCACTTCTGTCTGGACCGCCAATTATGAGTCAATGCCTTGCCGAATTAAAAGGGTTCAACCTTGCACTTAAAACGGTATAAACGGAGACGAAATATGGCACAATCGTGGTCCCCAAACGAAGGTTATTCGCTATACACAGAAGATAACAGCGAAAAGGGATGGGAAACAAGTACAGAGAGAGAGAGAGAGAGCAGTAAACAAACACCTAAAACTGTTTAAAAAAGGGATTCGAACCTTCAGCCAGTTATGGGACCGTTTGGCAATTTCGTAGGTCGCGCCGACTTCCAGGGTTTTGACCATCAGACCCTCACAGTTGCCTGTGGCATAAAAATTCGCAATTATTAATAAAAAAAGCTAAAAAGGATAGCGCGTTTAGACCAAAAGCACATAGTGAGTAAAAGAGTAGTGAAAATTAGGTTCACTAGGACCAAGGCTGATACTGGGAAGGACAGTAACTTGTTTCCTAATAAGAGATAGAATGAAATTTGTGAGGTGCCGGAGGAAGTTAAAAGGGGACAGTAACCTTGTCGTGTTTGCATCGTCAAAATCCTGGGCAGATAAACCATGGCTATGCAAAACCAAGCGCTTATTACGTTAAGAAAAGAGTAAAGAGAGACGAAAAGCTATTTTTTGGTTTGTTAGCACAGTTGTGGAGCAAAACAATGTGAGAAAACGAACCTTTGACGGACTCGTCCATGAAACGAGCGATTTCCTCGGTGTCCGATGTGTCTAACGCGGTGGCAAACATGAACTTGCCAGGAATTGTTGGAAAGACATGGCTAAAGATAGGAAAGCACGAAGAAGGTGAACCTTCTCTTGGGGTAACCGTGTCAACACCTCCCGAGATCGTTAGAGAAGGCCAAATAGATGTGTTCAATAGCCTTTTTATTGAAGACCCTGTAGGTTTTACTGCAGGAGCCTCTACATACTACTGGGTTTTAGGCCCTCAAAACAGGTACTAGAAATTAGGACTAAACTGCAACAGGGTCTTAAACTACTGGAGCACTGATTAGCCTTTTTACATAACGTTGTAAATGGAAAACACTACTAAAATGACAGTGCAAAGCCAACTATCTGGGAACGTAACTCAAAGTCAGTTCCTGCACGACTATATGTTGGCTTTCGATTGAGCCCTCTACCGAAAATATTGCTTAAATAGTGTGCATTTCCGCTCTGTAGAAATTAATTGCCCGTAATTTTCGCTGCTCATTTTACAAGCGAGTACATCTTACGTAAATTTGGCAAGTGAAGTAACACAGTAATATGATTTTAGAAACGGTGTGCAATTACGAGACCGGCTGAGACACTAGACGGTTTTTTTTTGTTTGGTATAGCAATCCCGCGTTATTACTGAGGATTCCAGAAAAAGAAAACATTGTCAGTATTTTTCAGGAATGTGAAAATGGCTACATGTCGCGGTTTCTTCCTGGCTTTAACATATAAAAAGGTAAAGTAAGTAGAAGTGTGTGATAAGAGAAAGTTCTTCAATTGATTGGACACATACTCACCACTGACTTTTCGACAATAAGGTTTCACGTTTGGGTGAATTTTCAAAAGAACGCCCGAGTACTCATTACTTTGGTAAAGGTCTTCACAGGTTTTGAACAAATGTATATAGCATAGAAATGATTTGTATGAGTAAGCGATTGAAAGCAACGAAAAGCATAAAGTACTTTAAGGACACTCAGAGCCTTAACGGCAAATAAAGTGGACGGAAGAAAAGTTTTCGTAAATATGTACAACAATAGCATTTTGACAATTTAGTTTATCACTTTTATTTACATTTAACAGTCACTGGCCCGTCTGCTATTTTGGTGACCTGTAACGTCTCCTTTTAACAAAAAACCTTGGTTTAATTAACCACATTTCTAACAATACAATAAAAAAATTACATGGATGTTGGCTCAATAATATCATGAAATAATAACTGGACATGACGCATTTAACGCAACAGATTTCATATAACATTACTTATTGGAAGAAGTACCGAATCTATTAATTCACAGTACAATGTGCAAGAAGCAAAGTATTATCGGTCTACATCATTAGCTAGAATCAGTGGCCATTAGCTCGGAACAGTTGTCAGAATATGGGAGGCAAGTTTGTTAAATTGTTGTAGGAAGAACCAGACTGGCAGCTTTTTTTTACAAGTCAATCAGACTGTCTGTACTGCTACTCGGCCCGGTGAGATGTGGGACAGCAATAAGCTCCGGGGAAGTTGTGGACTAGAGAGAGCAGAAAGGTTGCTGTTCGGTAGGACTGATAATGTTAGCTTAGATGAGGATGTGAAATCACTGAATATGCCCAGCATACGTTCGAGTAGGAAGCAACGTCATACAATACTTACTGTAGAAGCTCTCTCCTCCGTCGGAAAGGTTGTTCGGTGAGGGACACGCCATTCAGGTAGAGCAAATCGAACGCGTAGATGCAAACCTGAACCTTGACATCCTCTTCTTGGACATCCTAATGAATTCAGACAGAGCAGTCATCAGAAAAAAGCGAACATCTTTTTTTAAAAAACAATGGGATATGCGCAGTCTGCGATATTTAGAACTACGGTATTTAATGACAGTCAGGGGAAGAATATAAATACTGTTCGGAGACCAAGAAAGCCAGGTAATTTTTATGGGGAGGTATTGAATGACGAGAGGCATGAAATGAATCCAGAACGATACCCAACCCTGAGCAATCAACTTGTGGGCTGTTTCGGGTCAGGCTAGTCGTAGGTGGTACAATTGAGTGTAGACGGCGTACTATTATTACGTTGTGGTACCCGCGAGTTTCTTCAAGCATGCGTATGGGTTTGTATTTAGGCGTAAAGGCAGCCTAGATGGACATAAAAGTAAATCCCTCGTAAACCAAGTATTTTAAGGGTAGAGGTCAAAAGTGCCAACTCGGCCGCAGTGGACGGAGAAACGCTTGCGTTAATTGGTAAATTCAGCTATCCTCATGCAGGAAATCTGTCCGATGAATATACTGAACAGGCATCAAATCGGTTAGGCTTACTCAGCCTTCGCTGGACTCCGTATAAACGCAACTTAAACAAGCGTGAGATCAGTCAAAAGGTAGAATAGAGGCTTTGGCCAGGACAGTTTTTATTCGTGCGTATGAAACACTGACTGTGAGTATAGAGGCATAGTCCGCCAAGTAGGACGTTGAAGAGATGGTGCCCATGCCCTTTTTTCTCTCTAAATTAACCCCTCTAATGAAGGATTAGCATTGACTAATTCTGCTTCATCGAACAGCAACTCTGATCAACCGATTAGGTGCAGCGCCACAGTGAAGGTGAAATCGTCCGAGAGGCTAGCTCACCTGAACCGGACCCTGAATCACAACGGATTTAAGATTATCAACTGAAGACTATGGATGTATTCCTGGTCCCAAAGCCCGAATTGCGCCTGGCAGACGTGCCAACCGGCTTGACCTCGAATGTGGATTTGCGGCCTACCAAATGCAGCGAATGGTTATCGTCTGTTAATGCTATCAAGTGCACGAACAAGCGATTCATAATGACTGAATTATGAGAAAAAAACTACTTCGGTCCGCAGAACAGCACTGAAATTGGCAAGGATAAAGTGAAAAGTGTGAGCTGAATGCAGTCAATGGAAAGCGTAAACAGGATTTTTGAGTGGCAGGAGGAAAGGTGGGTGGGAGAAAAATAAGAGTAAAATAACCTTTCGCTTTCGCGTGCTCAGAACTTGGAATGGCAGAATTTGGCCGGCTTCGCGATCCCAGGCCACAGCCTCGGAGTCAAGAATGAAGGAGGTTACGGATGCGTCCGACGACGACGCGTCTGCTCCTAATTCCCGCAGAAGCTGGCAGGCAGTTTCGTTGACTTTAGCCTCACTCAGAACACTAGTCATCAGGCTTTTTGCAATATCCGGATACTTGGTGGTATTGTCCTCCTGGTTGCGTGAATAAATATGCACACTTGCGTCGGAAAGGAGGTGGATCTAGAAGAGGAGGGCAGAATTTAGAACCGTCCATATTTTTTGACCTGACCTAAGTTAAAGTACTCAGTAGAAAAAAGTTACAAGTAGCCCTAGCAGGTAGTGCTTTTACTCATTCCCGGTTCTGAGACCATTAGAAAGATAGCTGCCCATACACACACAGTCCCCACTTCTCCCTAATCCTGTGCGGCAGATTGTTGGATCAAATACGTTCACAAAACGCCGTCTATTGGTCCACTGCTATGGAGGTACAACTTAAGGCTGCCTACTTCCAGAGACGGATGGACGTGATATGGAACTGCAGGTCTAACAATGCTGCTATCCGTGCGTGAAGGAAAACTAATTCTAAGCAAAACCAATTTTCTCAAAAAGGATGCAAACCAAAAGCGTCAAATGATTTCGACAATTCTCTCAGCAGTTTTGACGTAAAATAAGTAAATGAGGGATTAGGTGAAAAAGTGAGCATGGGGACGAGAAAATGGTTACATATAATGCTAACAAGTATCGCAACGGAGCAGAATGTCATAGGAAGATCAACTGCAAAACGTCAAGCTGAGTGCTTTGAGAGCAAAATGGCGTTTATGCTTGTGGTTACGCATGAGGCGGTTGCTCCATTTTGAAGAATATGTATCAGACAAGACGTAGGATGGGGAATGAAATGAACGAAATCGATGTTTGCAGGGGGTTCTTTCACGGAAAAAGCGATGGTTTAGGGCGGGGGTCGGCAACCTTTTTAACTGAGAGCCAAAAAGCAAACATTTGGAAATATATTTCAGAAAGAGCCATATGGTATTTTTTGAAATGAAATTCTACTAAATGCGAGTGTAATAAGCCTTTGAATATATTCTTTTAAATAAAGTTCTTATAATACTCATTGTTAATGTACCTTCTGGCGTTA